ATATGAATGATTAGCAGGGCTGCATCTGTGCAAACTATACTTCCAGCCTGTTCAAATATAACACGCCTCGTCGTTCAGATTTTGGTTTAAACGCCGAAAGCAAAAATCCCAAAGGCTTTATATACAACGTTAAAACTTATCCTAAATAAACCTAAATGCATTGGGACGAGAACAAGTAAGCATGTGTGTTTGTACGGACAATTCAACAGCAGGGCTAGGAAAGCTGGGATGGTGAAATTTTAATGAAATTTTTTGTCTTCTATCACTTTCGACAAAAGAGCTGTGAGTTGAGACCAGATGCACTCGTGAAGTTAGGGCCTCGTGAATTTTTCAAAATTTTGGCATTTTTGATTATCATGCCGTTCATCTTGCATCATGTGTTGAATTTGAGCTATCAGATTTCAGCTTTGTACACTGTCTCAAGCTGTGAAACAGTGAAAGCCCTTACTGTTAAGGATCATACTTTTGAATCCATTCGGGCATTCTTTCACTGCGTTTCCACAGAATCCATTTGTATCAATGCATAATCAGGTCAGCTCTCTAGCACACACCGCTATTAACAATCGCATGAAACAAGAAGTCCGACAAAAACTCAGCAGAATGAAAGAAACCCGGGACGGCGCTTATACCCAACAGTAGTCAGGGAATCCATTCGTAACTACTGCCAAGTATGCTGCCTGCTAACCCATTTGCAAAAGATTTCCACACAAGCAGTTTAATTGCAAATTAAAAGAAACCATTGGCGACTCGCACCAGGCGGCTCGCGCGACCATGCGTTTTTGCAGTATTTCCTGCTGTAGCGAGATCGCTCGAAAACCCAACAGCTCAAAAATGTGACAATCCGGTCCTAGGAGTTCAGGAAAATAATTGTGCAACTATGCGATACTTGGACAGGGAACATCCCCTCCAAATTTCAGCCTTCCAGCTTTTCTGGTCCCCGAGTTAGCAATTTCGGCGCCAAAAATTTTAGCGAAGCCATATGTGGGAACCATGCACACCTGAGGGCTAAATATGAAATCTTCCAGTTCTACGTGAACTTGAAAATCCCTTGAAAATTCCAGCCTCCCCGCTTTTCTGGTCCCCGAGTAAGCGATTTTCCCG